AGGAGCATGAACAGAAGGGCTTGGAGAGAGAAAAGGGGAGGGAACATGATGTGATTGTATTATAGTCTCAAAAAATTACAAAGAAAAAATGTTATAAAAATAAATAAAAAAATGACTCAGTTGACCTCAGAGAGCTTGTGGGTCTAGAATTGAGATGAAGAAGTATCAGCTGTACAGACTTCCCCAGTGCACAGACTTTCTGATGGCTCAAGTTAATGAGACCAGCTGAAGTTAATGAGACCAGCTGCTAAGTCTTTGGCTAACAAGTGTGGCTAGCTCCTCACTCTAAACTTCAGGTAAGGTTTATTTGTTAAAACACAAACAAAATATCACCACACTGCCTCAGTATTCTGCAGTTTCCAAAGTAGAAAAAAAAATTCTTAAGAACTTTTGATTTTTTTTTTTAAAAAAGACAAAGTGGATTTAGTCTGGTGGTTATGTGTGCACATTTGTGCAGTTGTGCTATAGCACACTGGAAAACTACACATGTGCGGGTCAGAGACTGACCTCAGGTGTCTTCCTCTATCAGTCTCTAGCTTATTTTATGAGACAGGGTCTCTCTCTGAACTGGGAGCTCACAGAGTCTCTAAGAGTAGTTAGGAAGCGAGCTCCAGAGCCCCCCTGTATCTTCCTTCCAACTCTGGGATCACAGGCACCCTTCCCTATGCTTGGCTTTTCACTGAGTGCTAGAGATCAGAATTCAAGCCCTTGTGCTTGTTTGACATGTAGTTTCTCACCGGGGCCATCTATACCGTTCCTTAAGGAAATGCATAAAGACATTTGTAACACAGGAAAAATGTAAAAAGACAAACAGCTGTGAATTCAGACAGCGTCCAGGAATAAGGCATGTACTATCTTAGACTGCAGCTGCTCTTCCTTTCCCACTGGCATTACCCTACCACTTTCACTTAAAAGGTTATATGTATTTGGGGACAAGGTCCTAACCACAGCAATCTAAGTCTTCCTGACAAAATGACCAAAGGTGTTTCATTCTTAAGCATAATCTTCCACCTAAATTATTTAGCTAAATTATTCTTTCTTTCCTTCCTTCTTTCTCCCTCTTTTTGTCATGTCAATAATGAATCTCTGGTAAAGAAAAGTATTTGAAGCTGAAGGTGTTAACTCATTCTTATTCTGGTTATGGACTGCCTGTGACCAGAAGTCAAAAAACAGTTGCTGGTTGGAAATTTAATGGCAGATTGGGATGGACTGCTTCAGAAAACCAAAATTAAGGGCTGGAGAGATGGCTCAGCGGTTAAGAGCACTGCCTGCTCTACCAAAGGTCCTGAGTTCAATTCCCAGCAACCACGTGGTAGCTCACAACCATCTGTAATGAGGTCTGGTGCCCTCTTCTGGCCTTCAGGCATACACACAGACAGAATATTGTATACATAACAAATAAATAAATAAATATTTTTTGAAAAGAAAACCAAAATTAAGCAATCAAAAAATTCATTTGGAATTAAATCATGCAGGATAATGACTTCACACCTAAACTGTTCAGAAAAGACAATTTCATATATTTTAGATTGAGTTTTACCATATGTTAGCCATGTTGAAATACAAAATGGAAATCCCTTTCATGGTTAAAGTACTTAATTTTGATAATTTTAATTAAATACTTGTGCCTGCCTACAGTTTTGCTGTAATTTCATTTTGATATTTGTAGATGTCTTCAACTGCCGCTGGTTTTTAAGTTTCTATTACTCTACAAAATGGTGCAGGCATGTAAGCAATCTATATAACATGAAAGAAGAGAAATATGAATATTATCACCATGTTTACTGTACTATTCTTTGCTATGTATTCATGTTCAGGATTTATTTAATGGCTACAATCGTAGATGCTATTTACATATTTAAACATGTGTGAAGGACCATAAGGATCTCTTTTTGTGTAACATCCTACATATATATATGTATATATATATATATATAGCCACTCTAAATTTCTGCAACATTTGAAAGCTGTATATATGTACGGCTGCTATGCTAAAATGAACAGATACTTATTTATGCCTTACAGACACTGTTCATCTTTGTAACTGTAGCAGAGAAATCATTGGCAGTACCGAAACTAATAGAAAAAAGGAGAGTTTACAAACTAGTGAAGTCACTGTTCTCTGTGTCATGTCATTGGGGATCAAGAATTTATAATGTGTCTTTGCTGCAGGCAATCAGCAAACACAAGGATTCTAACATCACTGAAACAGTACTTCCCATCCTGTAAGTAAGCCAGCCTGTAATACCTAGAACACTTTCATTCATGATCATACTTGCACGCTTTATTGGCTCAGAGCTGTTAATCAGGACCTTGTGTGTGCCAGGCAAGAGTTCTGCTTCTGCTCCAAAAACACCCCTAAGGGGTGACCCTTCTTGCACACTTTCATTTTTAATTTTGTTAAAATTAAAAATTTTATTTTTATTTTATTAAAAAGCCTGTTAGGGAGACCTAACTGTCCTGGGCTGGTTTTGAATTCATTCTGTAGTCAAGGTAGACCTCAAATGTGTGAGACTCTTCACTTTCCCTTTCCCAAATAGCTGAGATTAAAGGTATATACTTCCCAAGTCTGGACATATGTATTCAATGCCATTCATGACAAAACATTTCACCCTTAAGGATAATCTCAGTTATTGTAACTCTCTGGTAACCATGACTTGATATGTGAAAATGAGCACACTCACAGACACATACACACAGACATACACACGTACACATGTATGAAAGCAGGAAAAGTCTCAAACTCTTTCTAGCGAGGAACAATTGCATTGATACCATGTAGCTGTTTATACTGTTATCATTTATACATTTTATAGTATACAAAACATCTATGATGTTGAGTAACAACGCTGCAGTTTAATGCACCAAGATCAGAACAATTGTCCTATTTGCAAATGAGAGTAATTAGACTCCTTGCCAAAGAGAGGAAGAACATTTGCTTTGACAAGGATTTGGCAATGTTTTACTTCCTCACACTAACAGCACTAACATGTAACACTTGTTCAGAGAGTACATGGTGTGTCCTGTCCTCCCAGAGGTGACAACTGGAAGAAATGGACTGATGACAGTGAGAAGGATTAAGAACACACAGGAAGAAACTCCCACTTCCCTTCTGAAAGTCAGTCATTGTCCTCTGTGGACCAACAGCCCTGTAACGGGCTCACAGAGAATGCCATCGCCTCTCTAGATTCTAACTTGCTGTGGGAACGTAGCAAACTCAGGTTTTGTAAAAAATCATTTTCTAAACAAAATTAAAGAACTATGATCTGCCCTATTTTAATGAGGGGAAATGATCAAAATTGAAACTCTAAAAATAGTAGTTTATATTTGAAATCCTAATTCCCTCCTAATTATAGGAACACTACAGTGGCACTCTAATTAAGTACTATTAGCAAGCCTATGGTAGGTCATGGCAGTGTAACAGAATCCTTAGAGAGAAAGCTGTAGATATAGAGGCCACTTCTAGCTCCAAATCTCTCAGACTTTTCAACACTGTATTCTACTTTTCCTTTCTTGCAACAAATATTGATGTCAATTTATTGATTAGCATTGAGGAGAAACACACATTTTAAACTAGAAAATGTCAAGCTCAAGCCACACTCGGAATCTATAAGGACTCACCAATTTCAGTAAAGTAATATTCACGTAACTTAATTTAATATTAATTTATTTACCAGAACTCTGAAAGTACTCTAGGCTTTGAGACAGCTAATACCACTGTAGTACAAAAGAGATTACTATAAGCTAGAAATCCAATGTAAGTTATGGTTACATTAACAAAGTTATTTAATGAAACTGATGATTAAAATTAGATTCATTTGTAAAACATCCAAATTGGTTTTTAGAAACAAACATTCATCTCCTAACATTCTAAGTCTTATTCATTTTTTATAGCTATAATTTGATTTGGACAGTGTCTTTACTTCTCAAATTGTTTTCCCCAAACCTGAACTCAAAGCTTGCTATTGTTACAACAGAAAAATGATGTGGTTACTCATAGATGCTCTAGTAGAATTAATAAAATTCCAAGTTTTAAAATAACTGACAAAGGAAAGCCTAGCAACACAATGAAATTGTGCCTTATTAGGAAATGCAATAATATTAGAACCATTCATGGAGTCTTCGATCAGGTAGTAAAAAATCAGGTGGCCTAAAAACAAAACACATGAGCACACCTTCAACCTACTTCCTCTATTCCCTCTTCCTAGAAAGCTGGCCACCATGACAATCAAATTGGCTAGCTTTCAGCCTGCCTAGAATGTACCTTACATAAAAATTCAAAATACCTGGAGCTAAAAGACAGTTGAAGACCATAGAACCAATGTGTGAGGAATATTAATCTCAAAATGGGTAGCAAGCATTCCCTTTGCATCAGCTCTCATTTCCAGCAAGATAAATTTTCAAATACACTCAGATAATAGACTGAGAGTTCTTGGGAAATTGGTGACAGAACAAATATTTTATCTTTAAGATGCCTAAATTAAGTATGTTTTGCTCACTACATTTAGTATAACACTCATTAGGTTGGAGTTCCTTTCTTAAAGAGGATCTAGGACTGAATTCCCTTACACTGAGCTATGTGAGGAGGAATGATAAACCAAGGTTCCAGCTAAAGATTTACAGTATCTTGGAAAAAACACAGGAGTACACACAGAAGGAAACCATTCTAGTATTACAGTACGACCCCATTATCAACTATTAATGCAAGTGGCAAGTGTGTCAAAAACTAATCATAAACGTTGATTTAATCTAACTTGGAGAGATGGGCCTTTGAGAATAATACATTGCAAATCACAAACATGCCATGCATTTCAATGAAAGCAGTGGTGTTTTTCTAGTTGGCGTACATTTATCTTAAAATCCCTCTTCTGACAGGAACACAGTAAGTAGCAGCACATAAATAGTCCACCACACAGTTTCTTTCTCTCACTAAGAGCTCATATATGCTGTGTGCACTGAGATCCAGCCAAGGCTCTTTCACGTTCCTTCTGGAGCTGCCATAAAAGACACAGCAAGGACCTTATTTCAACCACAACTGATGCTTTAACTTCATATAATCAAATGTGGATAGGGTCGTGTGTAGCAAAAATTTTAATTGGCCTTAATAATAAAAACCCAGAGTCAGGTATAGGGGTTAATGCTGAAGATCAGAGAAGCAGAGAGGCCAGCCACTAGAGAGTTCTTTTACCACTACCAATGCTCAGGCCAAAGGGGGGATTCTGTCCTCAGACTGCATCTTTAGACTCCATCTGTCTCCACCAAACCTCAGTCTGCAACTGTCTCTACCAAACCTCAGCCGGCAACTGTCTCCACCAAACCTCAGACTACAACTGTCTCTACCAAACCTCAGACTGTAAACTGTCTCCACCAAACTTCAGACTGTAACTGTCTCGACCAAACCTCAGACTGCAATTGTCTCCATCTCCATCAAACCTCAGACTGCAGCTGTATCCATAACACCTCAGACTGCAGCTGTCTCCATCAACCCTCAGACTGTAACTGTCTCCATCAAAACTCAGACTGCAATTGTCAAGAACAGAACATAGATACTCAGAAGCAAACGCCTGGGTGTACAAGACAAAACAGTAAAGAACCCCTTTTAGTTCCCATTATATATAACAAGTTCTCACAAATTATCTGGCCATTGGTTTAAAACTGCATAGAAATCAAACAAAAACTATTGTTCACATGTGTTCATCAGAGAGATGTTAGTATAGCAACAATATACTAACAATAGGAATTTTCTATTTAAAGGCTTGTTTGGTCAGTGTTTTGGAGGTAAAAATATCTGTGAATTACCAGCAACATCTGACTTGCCTATAGAGACATATGTCATCGGTGTCAAAACATGGTGGAAAAGAAGTGACAGAAATGCCCAGATAAGAAGAAACCAAGTACATGGGAGCCCTCATTTTATAACTCTATAATCATAAGAACTAACCTGAGTCCCATAATAACATTTTTAATCCTTTCCCAAAGCAGTGACCCAACCACGAAAGTTTTCCAAATCCTGAGTAAGAATGACTACAACTCTTAAACCTCTATTTTTAGCTAGTAACTGTACAGTCTTCTGGTACGGTCTGATAAAACTCTTGTTATAGCCAAGCCAGAGAAATGCTATAACAAAAGGATCCATACTCATATATATGTTCAAAAATGATGCTAAATTGTAGTAAATAACAATCTGTGTCACAACTTTTATACTTAGATCTATGACAAAAGAGAAGTTCCTGATAGAACTTATTTTGCACTAACTGAGGTGGTAATAAAATCACTGCCCTTCATTTTCCACACATCCAGGTTACGGTGCACAGTAGGTACAGCCTGCCTGCAAGCACATTTCTTCCCATCATACTTGAGCTCAGCTGAAACTATCTGGAATAGAGACCTCAGAAAATTCAGGGTGAGAGTATAAAAGTTATAATCTATTGCTTTGACATTTGCCATGCTGAAGGTCCTTGCCATAATCTTGAATCAAATTGGACACCATCTTCGTCACACACCGAGATATGTTCAAAGACATTGGCTAACTATCCAACCATATTATGTCACATTTGTAGGCTTCCTTATAAACAACGGCTGTGTGAAAATATGTTAATAGAATGGTTTCTTTTGCAAATAGAACCAAAACATGAAAGAAACTTATTCTAGCCTCAAACCTTGTTCTATGATGAATTAAAAGAAAAAAGTTACTCTACATCTAACAGACATATTGTAATTGTGTTAACTATTATAAATGTTACAAAGTTGAATACCTCTTCTAGAAAGTTATTCACAGAGAATTCAGAGTTTACAGCTGAAACTCTAATCTGTTTCTTAATTTTGAAATATCATATAGGATACAAGTATGATTTTCTTCATGATGAATTATGCCTGATAGATGTAACCATGCTTAGATAACATGAGAGCAAGCTGTGGTACCCTTTCCTTAGAGAATAGTAATAACCTAAACTGCATTTCCTTTCAATTTTGTTCTCAAGAAAAGTCTATTAATTTTTATAAAATTAAGATTGCATAACAATACTATTTCTTCTGAGGAACTATCATTAAAAATGTGTGGAAGCATAGCAATAGTTGGATATTAGAACAATCTGAGATAGAAACATACTAAGATCAAAGGCAACAGAGACAGCTGGTTCCTTTCATGGACCATGGGAAGAAGAAAGAGGATTATTTATAGGGATTAAATTTAGAGAAAGCAAACAAGCAACACAGACACTAAAAACCAGAATCTCTTACCCTGAAAAACTCTTTAGTTGAGCCAGAGTCTAATGTTCCATAAGCAATTTCTGTTTGCTTAGACAGATCCTCAGCACTTTCGATGGGAGACACCATCCTCTCTACGGTCAGGAAGGCAGCTAAGTTAGCCGTGTAGGAGGAGATTATGATCAGGGTAAAGAACCACCACACACCTCCAACAATGCGCCCAGAGAGGGATCTGATAACAAGTATGAAATGGATTCGTAAAGTGAAATGAAATATCTCTATAAAAAAAACAAGTTAACATTCATATGCAAATAGCCTCTTACAGAATAGTTCACTTTATACCTTGCAATATATCTTTTACCTTAGGAAACTAAGAACTGCTAACAATTTGGGGCCAGAAGGACAGAGTAATAACATTGGGATCTGAGGATGTGTCCAAAGATCTACACTATTCTTGGGATCTTCCCATAATTATAGACCCAAGTAATTGATGGTGTAAACTTCCATAAGAAAGCAACTTCAGGAAATGTACAAATAGTTCATCTAATATGCATAATACTTTGTCTACTCATGATGTAAACAGAAACAGGAGAACCTAAGAACAGCATCAAAGTTCATAACAAAACAAGTGTTACAAAACTGTCTAGCATTAGTATAGCTTTCAACATAAAATACAGTCTCCCCTTAATGCAGCTGACCCCCACCCCACAAGCAAGCTCAGCTCCATCAGGTTTGGGGTGTGCAGATCATGTGCTTGATACAGCACCAGAGAGAAATGGAAGATGAAATGACACTGAATGTAAATCATAATTCTTAATGAATAAATCAGATGCCTTCACGGTGTGGACTGCTCTGACCCTGTTCCTTTGTGTTTCCTGCTTGAGAGAGAAAGAAAACTCAAAACAAAACAAATTAGATGTTTAAAATTTAAAAGATATAAACTCCTAATGTGAAGTACAGGAAGACAGCAGCATCTGTCTGACTATAAATACACATGATGCTTTAAAAAAGCTTAATAAATTGCCATTGTTTATCTTTAAATATTGAAGGAGATGAATGCAGTTATGTAGATACCAAAGACATCTGCTGTGATATTTTAGATTTTATGGGATTCGGCTTATAATTGAGAAATTTGAAGTAGCAGCATTTCTAGATTGTTAAAACATAAAGTTGGTCAATTTAATGGCAGAATCAAATTTATTGACTATTAGCATTAAGTAATGCAGCCTTTGATACAATAGATATAAGATAAATTTTCGGTGATTTTAGTAGAATAGACCACTTGTTCAATACAAAAGGACTAGCTAATTCCAAAAACCTTAAGGTTTAGGTTCCTTTAAATGAAAAACTGTTCCTTTAAATGAAAAACTGAAGGAGTATAAATTAATCTCCAAGCCAAAGTCACTATAAAATGTGAATATTTAAATTAACATGTTAGAAAGGAAAGGTTTAAATATTTCTCACATGGAATCTAAATTAAATTATAAATACTGGTTCTGGAAAACCCTGATATGAACGCAACCATCCTCCAATGTATCCTATCTTCCTATGCAGCAGTATAATTATAGGATACACACCTTGAACTCAGAGGACAGAATCAGAATATGGCTGCATGGATCCCTCAACACTAAGGTTGTTTTTTTTTAAATGTATTTGACACTGTGCAATATCTCCTACCTGATTAAGAATTGTATTTATATGTTATACTATTCTAGTTAAAAAATAAAAGCTAGCTATCACTTTGCTTTTATTCCAGTGCTTAAAAATATTAAGATCAAATATTTCAGTGTTACTTTAACTATATTAGTTGTAAGACATAGAAAATATTTTTAGATTTTATCATTTATCTTTAACTATTTTTAAAGCAGCAATTAATTTTTCTGAGAGTTCTGGAGAAATTTTATTAAGGGGAAGAAATTTGATTTTGATTTGTAACAAAAGTTTCCATCATCAAAAAAAAAAAAGATTTTTTTCCTTTCTGTTGCAGATGTTGAAGAATGTGAAAGCAGAGGCACTGTCGTGTCTTCTCAACACACATCAAATGATGATGTTTCAATGGCATATGATTTACATGTAGAGATATTGTGGATGTAAAAAAACAATCTGAAGAATAACAACTGTGCACATTGCTTTTCTAATGCCTATGTTTTAAAAACATATCTCATAGTGCAGGAACCCCAAACCAACTTTCTTTCTTCTTTTGTTTTTTGAATTTCGGGCAAGTTATAATCATTAATTTCAGCAAATTGTCCTAGACTATACTTCAAGTGCACCCTCTCAACGTTCTTAATGGAGTTCCACAGAAGATTTCACTTGGAAAGGGTTGGTAGATTCATTTCCAAAGTTTAAAGGAATTTCTAGGTGGTCTGTTCATTTTCAGCTCTTTGTAAAGACAGCACCTCATCCTACTGTTCTGCTGTGCGGGGTCCATAGCTGCACTCTAAGACAAGGCAGTGCCGTTCATTCTTTTATTAAAACAATCATTAAATTGGTCAATGCTATTTTTTTAGGTTCAGTTTCAAGTGTATATAGAGCATAAGCAGAAAGTTAAGTGTATTTTTATTATAGGTGTTATATCTTCATATTCTGAAATAAAAAAATACAGTAATAAGAGAAATACCCTAACTAAAAACCAAAGTTTCTTACTAAGGAAATGAATGTCCTTGAGTGAGAAATGCAGTGAGACTCAAGAATAAAATCAAAGCACAAAAGAAAATATACTATTTTGGGTGCAAGTTTAATAAAAGAAGAAAGAAAGAAAGAAAGAAAGAAAGAAAGAAAGAAAGAAAGAAAG